AAAAAAAAAAAAACTCTCTTCTTCTAGTTGCCCCAAAATCACACCACAATCTCCATGAAACAGACATTTGATTTATGGCAAAATTGCACCTCACATCACGACTTTATCAACTTTTGCAATTCTGTCACGACTTTGGGACCTTGTCAATTCGGTACCCAACCTTTTCATTTTTTGCTTGACCAAGCATTGACCACCTCGCCGACCGACAGATGCCAGCTTGTCTGGCAACTTAATCCAACATGGATTAAATACGACGACGTTTCGCCTGACGTGGAGGACGTCTGAGGCAAAATCACCACCTCATCAATACGACGTCGTTTCGTCATTAAAAATCATATATAAATACAAAAAAAAAAAATCCCCAAAAAAACGTTCAATCCCTAAATTTGTTGACACCCTGCGACCCTCCCTATAGCCAGAAGAAATTGTTCTTCATTGAGCTCCAAAAATCACTGCAATCTCTATCTTCGACCTTCCCTCCACACATGGCAAGTAGCTCGAACAACAGTGGAGCTTCGAATGGAAGTGCAACCAACACACAAGTCCAGTGTTTACATAGAAAGCCGACCGATCTTTTGACGTCGTAAATTGATAGAAAGCCGAGTCGAAGATACTACTGTTGTCCATATTGAAACGTAAGTTTTATGACATATTTTGCCCAAATTTTATAGTTTTCAAAATTAATTCGAACATATTTTGCCCTAATTTTAATCCGTGCTTCGAATGGAAATGCCCTAATTCGAACAATAGTCTAATGATTATAGGTTTTTTTATGTGGTTTGATCCTGATATGCCACCATTTCAAAAGGCTACTTTTTTGAAGTTGAAGAATGAATATAAAATTGTGGGTGATGAATTGAAATGCAAAGAAGAAGAGGTCAATGTGATAACCTCAAGACTGGAGACTATAGAAAGACAGATGTTGGAGCTGCAGGTGAAACATGCTAAATTGGAGAAGTTAATTGACACACTTGTTAAGAAGAAGAAGAAGTTTCCAACTTCATTTTTTTTTTTTTTTTGTTCATTGTGGCATGTTTTTTGCTTCTGGTGGTATTCAAGTAGTGGTATTGAAGGTGACTTTGGTTGTGTTGAGAAGATTGATGAAATATGTTGTGTTTTATTAGTATTGTTGACATGCCCTTTCTTTGTATTGCTCACTTTTGATTAAAGAAGTACAATGTATAAGTCTGTTCTGTTTTGGTTGATGCAATTTGTTCAATTTCTGTAAATGTTGTGCAAATTTGTTCTCTAGATATGTTGGAAGATTCAATGTACACCAAAAGATGAAAGGAAAATAAGAAACATGAACAATGAAGTACATACACCAAAATAATTCCAAAATCTGAACACAGTTAATTCAAAGTTGTTAACAAACAACTGTTCGAAACCAACATAATTGTTCCACTTGTTAACAAACAACAAAAGCTTATCAAAATAAACAACCAAAACCAACATATGTTCCGACCAACCCCAAAAACAAACATATGTTCAACAATCAGACCAAAACAAAACCAAACCCAATAATCCATCCTACAATCATTGTTACACACTGCTGCCAACCTAAATTGTCCAACAATTACACACTGCCAACCAAACCCATTAACAATGCAGAAGACTATTTTGTTGCACTCTCTTGAGTGCCAGTGATATGACCCCTTCCTCTTTCACTCCTTCCTCTATTACCTCTGCCACTTGGACCAATTCTTTGTCTCTGTGAGCCACTGCCACTTGCATTGGCACTGCACTGCTCCCACCTCTAGATGATGATCCTCCACGAACAAGATGAACCCTTTTCTCAGTAGACATCTGTTGAAATAACAACAAATAACTCTTTTCTCAGCAAAACAACAAATGACTCAAGAGTATCAACAAAGCTGCAAGAAAAACAAGTCCCCAATAGGCATCAATTGTCATAAAATTATACCCTCATGTAAATATTTCCAGTCTGCTCAGACACCAAAACTCCATAACCTTTTTTTGCCTGTCCAAGAAAATAAAAAATATTAAAGACTTCTTTAGTAAAAATCAAAAGAGCAATAGAATCACTTCAAAGTTACCAAATTTCTTTCTCTGTGTATTTGACTTCCATGATCATTTGTTGATTGGGGAGGTGGTTCAGTCTGTGTCCTCACAGGGTTCCTTCTTAGTTTTTTCCTTTGAGCTGGTGGGGGAATCTCAGATGCAGTGGCATGTGTCACTCTCTCTTTTTGCTTCCTTTGAGTCTGTACCAAACAAAAAGAAAAGAAAAAAAAACAGATTATACAAAGCAACTTAATAATGGAACATGAAAAAATATTGAATTTAATTAATTTTACCTTTTTTGGGTTCTCAACCGAGGCATTAGAACATGTCTTCCTATTATGACCAGTTTGGAAGCAATTTTGGCAAGTCATTTGCAATCCAAACCTTTTTAGCTTTGTGGTACTCCTTGCCTCCTCCTCAGGTGCCTTTTTTCTTGAATTTTCTTTGGTCTCCCAGGCATCCTTCTTAGAGAAGGTGGTTTGATTGGATAACCAACAGCTTCAGGCCACATTTTCTTACCATTGAGAGGCTCAAGTCCTTTTGAATAGGCAACAATATACCTCTCAACATAGTAATGAGGATGCACATAGTCTGTGACATCATGCTTCATCCATTGTATTGCTGCACATGCATGTACACAAGGGATCCCACTAATATCCCAAGATCTACATGTACAGGTCATCTATCTCAAAGAGACAACAAATTGATCTTCTAACAATTGAACTTGGTATTTTTCTCCCAAAGTTGGCTTGGTAATACAATGCCTACTCTTATACTTATTTTCCTCTACTTTAACTATGATCCTAGGACATATCTTGTCAGTGACACCACAAATTAACTTAAGCTTATCATGTTGCCTCTCCATGACATAACCTCTAATGCTTTCTAACATCTGAACAATGGGTTCCTTTCTAGCCTTGACAATGGTGTTATTGAATGTTTCACAAACATTATTCAAGATCATATCACACTTGGGAGTTTCTGAAATAAAACACTTACAGAACCTAAAAGTCTCTTTTTCAAAGAAGTCATTGAAGGCACTCTCACCTACTGCTTTCAAATCCTCAAGTGCTTCCTTGTATTCAGCCTCATATGTGCTATGCACAAGCTTCCAAAAGCAGTTCTTCAAAGTCTGGCCCTTATGAGCTTTCTTCCAATTCATGTACACATGTCTAGCACAATTTCTGTGCTCAGCATGTGGTGCATAGTTCCTCACAGCAGTCATAAGACCCTACAAAATATATATATATATATATATATATATATATATATATATATATGTATAGCAACAGAATATTTATGAAGAATGTATTAAGATATGTAAATCTAAGCAGTTAAAGTTAAATTATATTGAAAATATGTAACCTTTTGCTGATCACTTATGAAAGTCCATCCCAAACCATCCCTTATATTCACCTCTGGCATAAGTTTTCCCAAGAACCAAGACCAAGTAAACTCATTCTCCATGCTGACAACTCCTCATGCAATTGGGTAAATTTGATTATTACCATCCTTTCCAACTGCACACAACAAGACACCTCCTAAACTTGTCTTCAGGAAGCAGCCATCCAATCCAATCACTGGTCTGCAACCTTGTAAAAAACCATCCCTCAATGAACTAAATCCAATATACATGGCTTTGAACACACTGCCCTCTTCCAATAGAACTTCAAACTTCCCAGCCCTATCCACTCTCATCAACTCAGCTATGTAGCTTCTTAAACACTTATAGTGTTCTTCTTCAGATCCTCTAATCATGTTCAATGCCCTGTACTTTGCTCTATACAACCTCGACTTTGAAGGCTGAACAGCATACTTATCAACTTAGTACTCCTCCAACTCAGCAATCTTCATTCTTGGCTTCTTTCTGAATTTGTTGATGCATTCTTTAGCAATCCACTTAGCATTGGCCTGTCTTGTTCTAATGTCCCTGGTGCAAGTGTGCTTTGAAATAAGAGTCTTCACAGCAACTCTTCCTTCAGTTTTTATTTCACTAGCATATATCTTCCAAGGACAACCTTCAATTCACTTGGCTTCAACCTGATGCTGACTAACTCTCCAAAACTGGATATTACACCCATTATACACAGCATAAGTTTGAATGGCCTCTTTACACTAAGCAATGTTTTCAAATCTCATTCCAAGTTGAAATGCCAGTGCCTTGTGATCATAGTTTGGGTCATACACCACCATTTTCATCCTTTTCCTATATTCAGTATCCTCACTATCATCATCTGAAAATGATGTCAGTGAGTCAATCTCATCTGAGTCTCCATGCTATGATGCATCCTCTCTGCATGGTTCACTTGGATCACCATTAGTGGGTATTGAAAACTCAGGATCACGCTGAGTGTTACCTTCTGTATTTTTGTTCCTATCCTTGGCACCAAAGAACCTTTTTTTCCTTGCTAGAAGGTACTCCTCTTCATCAGTTCCCAAGTCAGCCCCAGAAAGTCCATCATCACTAGAGCTGCAATCTGATGGGCTATAATCATCATCACCACTAAAATCATCATCATAATCATCCACATCATCATCACAAGTATTCACAGGAGGTTCAACATTGGTTCTTTCCTTTTCAGTGGCATCACCACCTTCAGTTGTTGCCTTTTCATTTTGAATTCCATCACCAACTTCAATTGCCTTTTTAGTAGCATCAGAACCTTCAGTTGCCTTTTCAACAGCATCACCACTTTCAATTGCTTTATTCATCTTTTCCTGCCCTTTTTTTCCCACCATCAACAAAAAGACAAGAATAAAATTTACTGGGTTCCAAACTCCCAATCATTTCCATCAAGATAGCATCATTGTGGATATGTATGTAACTAGGCGACCCCATTTCCCCACGGATCTTGTAATACACTTTGCCAACCTCAGTGTAACCAAGTTTTTCATATTCATATACTAAATCTAGATACCCAAACATATCAACATCAATACCATGCCTGATATGAATGTCTCCTCCAAAATACTCCATTGCGTTATCCAACATGATAAAGTACCCACCTTGATTAAGAAAATTTGATAATTTGTTTCTGAAAAAAAAAAAGACAATTTCTATCAGATATCAGAATAATGAACCCTAATCTATCGATTCTGAATACTACTCTATCGATTACTAATGAACTCTAATCTATCAATTCTGAGTACATAATACGTAATGCAGTAATAAACTAAAAAAAAAACAGAAGAGATAAATTCATACATGTCCGTCATCTTCAATGGGGATTTGCGATTTTGTAGGGTTCTTCAGAAATCGAAGTCTTTCTGTACAAAAGCCCAGGTTTCTTCAGGAATTGCGAATTTGCCGAGAATTTGTCGGGTTCGATTTCAGTTATTTGGTCGAGGATAGAGTTAGGGAGTTAGGGATTTTTCGATTTCGATTTAGGAAGTTAGGTCATCGTTTGGTCGATGAAAGAGTGAATGGGGATTTAGGGATTTACTATTTCGGCTTTAATGTAATATTTGATTTTAATTTTGGTATTTTTTAATGACGAAACGACGTCGTATTGATGAGGTGGTGATTTTGCCTCAGACGTCCTCCACGTCAAGCGAAACGTCGTCGTATTTAATCCATGTTGGATTAAGTCGCCGGACAAGCTGGAATCTGTCGGTCGGTGAGGTGGTCAATGCTTGGTCAAGCAAAAAATGAAAAGGTTGGGTACCGAATTGACAAGGTCCCAAAGTCGTGACAGAATTGCAAAAGTCGATAAAGTCGTGATGCGAGGTGCAAATTTGCCTTGATTTATTTATCCAATAATTTTCATACATGGAAGACGTAGAGCACTGATGAATATAACAAGAGAGATAATCGATGACACATCACTGATTGAGGCGAGAAGCAAGTTTCTAATGGAAAAACTCAAAGTTCTGAATGGGAGGTTGGTGAGATTGATGACAAGGAATGCATGACCAAATAATTGAGTAAAAGCAAAGGCAAAGAGACATTTCTTTTATGTGACCCTGAGCCCATACGAACTAAAGGTTGTGGAAAGCGCCTAAAGTCAAATAAAGAGAAAGTCATATCTCAAAGTACTCAATTTTGTAGTTTGTGTGGACAAAAGGACCATGACAAGCGCAAATGTCCCAGTCATGGCAATCACTTTGAAGATGATCCATATCGACCAACATGTCAAAAGTGACAAATTCCAAATTCCAGTTGCTCTGATATTTGAGATATTTATTTTAGTAGTAAGTAATTTTTTAGATGACTGATTTTGTTTTTATGAGATATTAAATTATTTTTGTTACTTCTTAGTACTTTTGATCGTTGCTAAATTATCTGGGGTATTTATTTATTTTTTTCCTTATTAAGTTATTTAAGTAGATTACAGTAACGTATAATTTCATATTACTTTTGATTGTTGCTACATTATCTGGAGTATTTATTTATTTTCCTTATTAAGTTATTTAAGTAGATTACAGTAATGTATAGTTTTTGGAGTGTCTGAGACTTTAATAAAAATTATTCTTTTCTTTTAACTATGATATGGGCAAAATTGGTTTATGTATACTTCTAGCTTTGTCAAATAGTTGTTGTGAATGATGCAATTGTAAAATTTAAGATATGGGATATAGTGCTGGTCAGGAGAGGTACTAGAACATAGCTCTATTTTACAACCGGGGAGTTGCCGCAGCTATTATTGTCTATGATATCACAAACCAAGCAAGCATTAAGTGCTTAAAAAACATGTTATATTTATATTAAATGAAATACAATGCTTTGTATTGAACCATGCTTTGAGAAATGGTCATCGATATATAACAGAATCATGGTTAAGTTGCCAATTATTCATCCTATTGAAAGTATTGAGGATGTTTTCTTTTTAGTAGATTAGTAGTAACATCAAATGATTATTCATTGTCCTTATCAATTTGGTGCTATTATGGTTGGTTTCTATTGGCCTCATTTGGATGGGCCAAGAAATGGGTTCAAGAGCTTCAACCACAAGGTACATAGTTCTTCTCTTATTCAGGAATGTTTGTTGCAATGGGGTTTCTACTTTTGGAAGTATTTAGGATGGTTTTCTGCTTGTTAAGTGTCTTGATGTTGCAGTTGTCCTATATTTTTCACTTTACTAAT